AGAGAGAGAGAGAGAGATGGGCAGACAAATATAGGTTGATTATCATTGAATATCATTAGGCAATACTTTGCTTAAAGTAAATAATGTAGCCATTAGCATACTTTCGTATTACTTTAACCGTATTCATGAAAGAATGACTATTTATATTGGCACTGGACTGACAGCATCTGTTCAATTTAAGAATCCGCCACATTGGAATGGCAGCACAAAGACCGATTCCAAGATGAATTTCTTAACAAGCTCGTCTCTTACTCTAAGTTTTCTAGCTGAGTGAGAGTGGTCATTATTAGTGCTCAACTATTGTTGCCTTGTGTTAAACTAAACCGATATTGCTATCACGCAATGGTTAGCATGAAACCTGATAGGTCAATCCCGTCTGGTAGTGTTATCAGTCGACACGGCCTCTCTTCTTCGAAAAATCTCTGTAATTAACTACTGTATTTGACAGCATATAAGACGCACGGGTGTATAAGACGCACAGATGTATAAGACACACTCCAATTTCAGTAGGGTAAATCAAGAAAAAATTAGTAGTAAAATTATTAGTAAATTTTACAGCCTAGACTATATTTATGAGGTATTATTTTGGTTAAACAAGCCATAATTACAATTAAACGAAAAATAATAGGGGAAAAAAGAACACGACCCTATAAAAAACTTTATTATATCCTTTATATGATCTGTACAACCTGCGTCTTGGAAATGTCTTATTGGAATAGATATTTATTTGTACGTTGGGACAAAATGTGGCACAAGGCCAAAAAGGGGAATGGGGAAAAAGCCAGCTTTCTTCTGTCTTAATTCTAAAGTTAGCTAGCCACAAACACTGACCCAAACATACCCAACAATAGTCCTAACACCAACACAACACATTCTCTCCTACATTTCTTACTACATCCACCGTAATACCTCAATGTCTCTATGAAATCCTAACTAGTCCCCATATGTACATTTCAAAGGCTGTAGGGGGAGGGGAATAAAACAACAATTAAAAAAAAAAAACAATGATTAATTACAATATGAATTACTATTTACATGAAACCAAAACTAAATAAGGTTAGTAATAAACACACACCCCCAATCCCTAAATGTGGCAGAAACATCAATTAACTGGACGAAAAAAAAATGCGGGATTATAATAATATAAAAACAATCATCCATCCAAAAACACTCACACAAACACACACTCAAAACAACAAATACGAAAACAGACACGCGAAATGAAAAGCATCCCGCATCTACCAGAGAACTGACATCACTGACCACCTAACGAGGGAGGGGAGGGGGAATTAAAGTAAAGAAAAATAGGGACAGGAATAAAAGGGGCCAATGAGCATAAAATGTCTTATTGGAATAATTAAGGATATAAAAATTCTGATTGTATTTATACCAATGCAACCGGAAGCTATCGCAAGAAAAACATTAATGAAACAAATAAATTTTACAAATATATAATTTGAATTTATTGCATATAATTTTAGTGAAACAAAGTACTAATATTAAACATGATGAAATGAATATAATGAATATTGTCAATGATAACACTTTTAATCTGCATAATAGCCTTTTAAATAATGAAAATGGGTATATGAATGTTACTCTAAAGTCTAAGCTAATAGGAGTTGGCAGGTAACTAATTTCGGCCGACTATCGCGAATTTACATATGGCATATAAGACGTAGGGGAATTTTAAAAGATATTTTTAGTAAAAAAACGTGCGCGTTATATGCCGTCAAATACGGTAGTTATCATACAGTGACGATTAACAAGTTTTTCCCAAAAACAATTCTACAATTTCACGAGTTCGATCCTCGCAGGCGTCTAATACTTTTGACCTTGTCTTAGGCGACGCTGTGTAGAGTAAACACCTCACCGTTGTTAATACTTACCGGAATCACCTGCATATTAAACGCATTACTACTTTAGGGCTACGAAATTAGGGAAAAAAAACTCCTGTGTATAATACGCATTGACTTTTCAAAATGTGTAGCAGCAAAATTTAACCTAAATTTAACACTTGTACACATTCTGATCCAGTTCAAATTAAAAGTACCTCCTTGTTCAATAGTTTCATTTCATTCCTTAGGGGCTGATGACTACCCTTTTCCATCCATACATGATCAGCCATGCCCGATTTCATTGTTTCGACCTCACTAGGATTTTCGGTGTTACTCCAGTCTATATTTAAGTTTTTCACCTTTACATTCTTCGCTACTATTGCAAGGAACTAATCTGCCACATAATTTCTATTCCAGTCTATTGTTAGAATTATTTTATTTTTTGTTAAACTCTTCTTATGCCTAAGAAGATCTACGATAAGAACGAATCTTCTGTCCGTAACATAACTTTTTATTTCAGTCTATTGTTATAATTGTTCTATTTTAGTATTATTCATATTTGTTAATCTTGTATCGGCTTAATAAAGTAAGATTTATGGTAGGAATAAATAAGAAAAGAAAGAAAGAAAGTTTTGTATAAGGTTCGGCAGTATCCACGGTTACAGGCATCTGCTTGGGATCTAGATACCTGGCATCCGTTGATCAGGGAGGAGGAACTATTGTAGACAGAGAAACATTTATCTGGTATGGATTTAGAAAGACTAGCTTTTGACACACAGTAGGGATCGAATTCGCAACACAGATGAATGGTTAATGAGCCGTAGGTTGTTAGCTTTCGCTCTACCGTAGGAAACTTGGTATCTACCAACTTTAATATTTATTTTGACTAAGAAACGTTACGGATGACATTCGTGAATTGCTTAGGTTAGCTTGTTTTTTTTAATTCTGCTACAACCGTAGGTTACGGACGGTCAAATTACCCAGATCGCTCGATGGATAGCGGTGTTGCACCTACCCGCTGTTTAAATGCAGAAACATTTAGAGAGATGGGGTATTGTATGCAATCCCCATCCTATGTACCAATTAACAAAGCATAGCGTACTTTATAATTCTAAATGATTAAATGGAGTCAGACATAAAGAAGTGTCGATTTCGACACCATGGCTAATCCAGTATTAAACCTAAGGTTCTGCTTCTTATTTTGATTACCGTTGGTTTGTTTTGTTTTACAGCATATCAACCTCAATGGGTTATTTAATGTCAAGATTTTTATTGCTGTTAATTTTATTTTCCCCCCAAATGTATTGTTGGTAATATTTTTCTAGAAATGTATTGCTGGCAATATTTTTTTTCAAAAATATATTGCTGGTAATTTTTTCTTTTTCAAAAATGTACTGCTGGTAATAATTTTTCCCAAAAAGTATTTCTGGTATTAAAACCTATATACTTTCAAAGAGTTTTGATCCCTTTTGGGGGAGGGGTTAACTTTTTACCCATAATTGGGACCCTGACAGGTTCTATCACCTCGGATCAGGGTGGATCTGAGAACACCAGCAATTAAGAGGTGGTTCCATGCTCCTCAAAACCTCCTGATCTGATTGCTGTTGGGCGTAGTTTATCGTCTTACCCAGGACGCAGATGTAGCTTATCATCATACCCAGGACATAGGTTACTCAAAAACGTAACTTGCATAAATATCCACATTTTCTTTTGTCCTCTTTCCAATGTCCATGATAATCCCGTTTAGTTCACCGAGTCCAAGTACACACTGCTCGGCCAGGGAGGCTTGGACTCCAAAAAGATAGATAGATAGATAGATAGATAGATAGATAGATAGATAGATAGATAGATAGATTTGAACAGGCTGGTATTGACACATAGATACATACATATATACATATACATGAAAACACTAAGAAGATAGATAGATAGATAGATAGATAGATAGATAGATAGATAGATAGATACATACATACATACATGCATACATACACACATACGTACATACATATGAAGAGTGTGACATAGATAGATAGATACGTACATACATATATACGTGAAAAGTCTAAGATACAGACGTTTCCTAAAAGTGAAACCAATGTTTTATTTACGTTTCATCATCTGATCTCTTACGAAGACTGATTCCTTCTTCTTCGTCTTCTTCTTCTTCTTTCTTATTCGTTTTCTTCTTTCTTCTTCTTTTCTTCTTTCTTCTACTTCTTTCTTCTTATTTCTTCGTTTTCTTCTTCTTTCTTCTTCTTTTTCTTCTTCTTTCTTCTTCTTCTTCGTCTTCTTCCTATTCTTCTTCTTTCTTCTTCTTCTTTTATTTTCTTGTTCTTTTTCTTCTTCTACTTCTTCTTCTTCTTCTTCTTCTTCGTCTTCTTCTTCTTCTACTTCTTTTTCTTCTTCTTCTTTCTTCTTCGTCTTCTTTCTTCTTCTTCTTTCTTCTTCTTCTTCTTCATTCTTTTTCTTCTTTCTTCTTCTTTTTCTTCTTCTTTTTCTTCTTTTTTTTGCTTCTTATTCTTCTTCTTTCTTCTTCTTCTTTCTTCTTCTTCTTCATTCTTCTTCTTTCTTCTTTTTCTTCTTCTTCTTTCTTCTTCTTCTTCTTCTTCTTTCTTCTTCTTCTTTCTTCTTCGTATTCTTCTTCTTCTTTCTTCTTCTTCTTCATTCTTCTTCTTTCTTCTTCTTTTTCTTCTTCTTTTTCTTCTTCTTCTTTCTTCTTCTTCTTCTTTCTTCTTCTTCGTCTTCTTCCTCTTCTTCTTCTTCTTCTTCATTCTTCTTCTTCTTTCTTCTTCTTCTTTCTTCTTGTTCTTTCTTCTTCGTCTTCTTCTTCTTTCTTCTTCTTTCTTCTTTCTTCTTCTTCTTCTTGTTCTTCTTCTTCTTCTTCTATATCTAAACAGTTCCAAACTCCGAACGCAATCATAATTCAATGTGTACATTTTCTCAGCTGAGCTTTCATGGATACAAGTTGATTTCATTGATATAGAATTATTCTTCGAATAGGCAATTTATTATGAAGTTATGCCAGTAATATATTAGGTAAAAATGGTTTTATTAATTTTATCATCAGTTTATTTGATAATGTGAATCTTTTTTTTTATGTACCTTATTGGTTATCGCAGCGAGACCGAGGTTAGCCTACCGGCAAATATTACTCAGAATTTAAGGACAGATAAGGAAGAGAGATGAAGGAAAAGATAAATAGAGAGGGTTAAAATTAAAAGAAAAGAGAAGGAAAGACACCAAAGCGTATAAAAGGGAGAGAGAAGGAAGAGAGTAGGAAAGAGATATAGAGAGCTATAAAGTGATAGGAGAGAAGGAAAAATACCGGAGCGCATGAGAGAGAAATAGAGAGGGTTAAATTTGTAGGAGAGAAAAAAAGGGTATTATATATGTGGAATAATGTATTATTCCATCTACGACATTTTACGCGCGCGCGAGTTTCCTCCCTTTCTTCCACACTCGCGTGTGCGCTCGCGCGTTTGACACCCCTTTCTGCCTCTTTCGGTCTAATACAGTAGTAACTGTTTTGTCGTCAGTCAAGCGACCTGCTAGTCATGTCTATGCAAATTAGATTTTTGAAATCTTCCCGCGAAATTTGTGACGTCACGGACAAACTGTTGTTTCAAAAAGTTAGTTGTGATCCAGACTCGGACCTGAACAGACTCATTTTAGCCATGTCAATATGCAAGGTTGACTGACGAGGGATATCTAACAATACAAACACCAATAATTAATTCTTCGTCCCTTTTTGGTTCGTCGTTAAAAAACCTTCTCCGAGACGATGCAAAATACCAAATATTAATTCTTCGTCCCTTTTGGCCCGTCATTCAAAATTCTTCTCCGAGACGATGCAAAACACCAAATAATTAATTCTTCGTCCCTTTTGGCTCGTCATTCAAAATTCTTCTACGTGACGATGCAACTCCAAGTATTAACTTTTCGTCCCTTTTGGCCTCGTCATAAATCTGTTTTGAACCAGTCCAAAAAAAAGAAAAAAATATATGCATAACTTTTCACTCACATTAACAAAAAAATCGCAGTGAGTATTTTTCCTTGTATGTATATTATCATGTACATTGACTTATCTGGAACCTTCTTCTTCTGCAAGAACTTTCCCGCCTTAGCCATCTTATTTTCTATTTTGGCGCGGAACATTTTCATTGATCCCTACTACGGGATAAGTTACTTGTTTTCCTGCATTTAATAAAAATTACTCTTGTTTGAATCCAGTCTTTTTTCTGTCATTCTGTGTCGGCTATCTTAATATATTTTATTTTATGCACGTGTGGATTAACCACATTTCTTCGTAGTTCATTCACACATTTTTATCTTTTTACTTTGCTTGTAGACTCGGTAGTTTAGTGTGGTGTCTGGCACAAGGCCACTTTGTAATAAACCAGCACTGCACCCTACCGGGTCTGCAACATATATATAAAGGTAAAATGAGAGAAAATGAAATTAAAAAAGAGAGGCAAATAAAAGAGAATCTGATGTGGGCGGTGGATGAAAATGTGTTTGATAAAGAAATAGAATAGGAGGAAACAAAAAAGAAAAACGAGAAAGAGACAAGGAACGAGTGAATGGGGGTGGGATATATAGATTGATAGAGTGATAAGAGAAAAGGAAAGGGTATGAAATGGTAAGAGAAGAAAAAGGAAGAATTAAAGAAAGAAAGGAAGAATAAATTAAAATGAGAGAATAAAAGAGTAAAGGCATTAAAGTGAGAGAAGGAAAAAGAGAGAAAGGGTATTGAAAAAGGAACTAATGAAAAGATAATGTGGAAGAGGGAAGGTGAGAAAGATGAACTACTGAAGAGAAGGAAAGAGAGAAAACGGCATGAGAGATATAAGAAAAGAATGAATGAGAAAGAGAGAGAAAAGCAGGCGGGGATAGAGAAGGGAATAAATAAGAGGAAATGAAAAAGAGTTGAGAGAAAATGAAGGGATAAGGAAATGAATGAGAAGGAAAGGAAGAAGATTGTGAAAGAGAGAGAGAGAGGGGAAGGTGGATAGATAGAAGTGGTAGCAAAAAAGGAAAGAAAAAAAGAACTGAAAAAAAGAGGGGAAATGATGACGTGAAATTGATAGGAGAAAAAGAAAAGGGTATAAAATATATAAAGGTAAAAAGAGAGAAAAGAAAATTAAAAAGAGAGACAAATAAAAGAGAATCTGACGTGGGCGAGGGATGAAAATGAGTTTGCTAAAGAAATAGAATAGGAGGAAACAAAGAAAGAGACAAGCAACGAGTGAGTGAGGGAGGGGAAAATAGAATGATAGAGTAGTAGGGAACTAATGAAAAGAGAATGAGAGGGGGAGAATATGGGAGAGATGAACTGATTGAAGAGATGGAAAGAGTGAAAACGGCATGAGAGAGAGATAAGAAAGAGAAGGAATGAAAGAGAGAGAGGGGTATGCGTGAAGAAAATAAATGAGAAGAAATGAAAGAGAGGCGAGAAAAGTGAAGGGATAAAGAAATAAATGAAAAGAAAAGAAAGAGTGCGAAAGAGAGAGAGAGAGAGAGAGAGGAAGGTGTTGGGAAAGAGGGAGCATCAGAAAGGAAAGACACCAAGGACTGAAAGAGAGGTGGAAAGATGAGGAAATAAAGATATAAAAAGAGAAAAATAGCGAGAAGAGAAAATGAAAGAAAATCACAAATGAGAAAGAAACAGCAAGAGAATGAACATTGGGAAACTTACAATACAGACTAAAAACTAAAATAAATAATCAGCCAATCACATTGTCGTAGGCGTCCAGATAATTACAAGTGTTGTATTAGTTGAGCTCGAATCTTGACACTCGAATTAGAAAAGCATGCCAAACAGTGAGGAGGCTCCATAACTGAATGCTCGATCGACCCAACATACGATTGTCAATAAAACAAAAACATTACCACGCACTACTCCTCCTTACTCTCCTTTATGGATGCAAAAGGCGAACCTTGTGCTTCAGGAAAATCATGAAGTTCCACAGGTGGGAATCTTCGCTCCATATTTGGAATCACGTTGCTGGATCCTATCACCAACCCCTGATATTTTGAACTTTGTGGATCTGACCAGCATCGAATCAATGTCCATCAAAATACAGATTTAACAGTCTGGCTGCGTTATCTTCATGGAGCAACGTTGCATTCCCAGACGCCTGTTGTACCGGGAGCTGATACGAGGCAGAAGACATCAAGGCCGATCAAAGAAACGTTACAAAGTCTCAATCAAGGCTAACCTCTACTGGTACAAGATCTGGTCAAAGAAACGAGCGATGGGGAAGCTTCTGCAAACTTCGAAGACGTCTTGCATAAAAAAAAAATGACTACTCAAAGAGATCAATGCTTGGTTGGTTGTTTGGTTGACTGTTTGGTTGTTTGATTGGTTGTTTGATTGGTTGTTTGATTGGTTGGTTGGTTGGTTGCATGGTTGGTTGATTGGTTGGATCGCTGGTTGATTGTTTGGTTGCATGGTTGGTTGATTGGTTGGTTGATTGGTTGTTTGGTTGTTTGGGTGGTTGCATGGTTGATTGGTTGGCTGTTTGGTTGGCTGAATGGTTGATTGGTTGGTTGGTTGGTTGGTGTGTTGGTTGGTTGGTTGATTGGTTGGCTGTTTGGTTGACTGGTTGGTTGTTTGGTTGGATGGTTGGTTGATTGGTTGGTTGTTTAGTTGGTTGGTTGATTGATTTGCTGATTGAGTCATTGATTTTTTGGTTGGTTGGTTGGTTGGTTGGTTGGTTGGTTGGTTGGTTAAATTGTTTAGCAGCCTATCAATTATTAACATCACCTTTTTATTCTTTTTAGAGATTATTTTTCAACGTATTTCCGCTTCTCCCTGCCATGCATAACTTTTGTACCATTAAGAACTTGTTTAAGTCTCTGAATTCTATTCTGTGGAAAAGGCAAAGGGAAACCATTCAACTATCTTTACCAAGAAACCATGGCCATTTACAAATGATAAAGTAAAGGACATTTCAAAGGCACACAATGAGGAAAGGAGGCTTGGGAAATATGACAGACTGAAGAGCAGGAGAGAGTTAACTGTGTGACCTACTTAGCAAACTTATGTAAGTAGAACAGGGTTTAGGAGAAATTGCATAAAGACAAAATTTAATAAGCGCTAAAAGAAAGGAAATTGTGGAGAGCCATAGTCGCCAACGTCCTGAAAAGGCATAGAAGAGAAAGAAAGGAATTTGCAGAAAGTCATGATCTCTTATGAATATGACATATTTTAAGTCAGGGAAATTCACAAATATTAAAGAGAAATGGAAGTAGTGGAGAGCTATGATCGTCTATGTTCTGATGCTACATGACATTTTAAAAAGTAATCGTTATATCATATTAAAGCGGTAGCTTATAGAATCGTTAGAATCGCTGAATAAAAAAAAGACATTTTTTTTATCAGTTGCGTTGGCTGACAGTAAAAAAAACCCAACAAACAAAAAAAAAAAACTTCCCTGGAGTCGTGTTTCGAAAATTAAAACATCCACCCCGTCACTATTGCTCCATCAATTGATTTCTTTTACGTTTCCATTGCCAGTGTTTGCAAACAAATCGAGAAGTTACAATAATTTATCGCTAACACCGATCGGGTGTCAGAAAATCGAGAGTCAAGCAATAAAAGGATCCTGTCGGATCTGATGTCTCTGCCTTCCAGAACGACGACACCGACGTCGACGCTAGAAAAGCTTCACATCTTTCTCGGCTTTCTCTTCCTCGTCGTCGGGGTTGAGGCGCCTGCAGACTCCGTTGCCGCTTGTTGATGTTTAGATCTCATGCTCAGCGTGCTACGCTTCCAACGAGCGCTTCTGCAGCTGAATCTATTGATTTCGGCTGTGTCTCCTTGCAAATAATTCCAATCAGTTTTCCCGCCCTTCTCATCATTGAAATTACCAACAACAGAACCGACTTTACTTGGATTTTTTCCTGTTACTTAAAGATATTTTTCTCTCTTATATATATTTAACCGGATTAAATAGTTTCGTCTGATGTCTGATTTACACTCCTACCCAGTCTTTTGAACAGGAGTAGATGCTTATCTTTCCTGTTTAGGATTGAATTTCCGGTTCCTTCTAAAGCCTACTTCAACTGTATATATCTAATGCTTAACGTAGAAATTTTATTTACTATTTTTCCCTCAACAGCAGTAGATAGGTGGGTCTATCGCCCAGATCATAAACCTCAACGGACTTTAGAAAAGAAGTAGAATTTGTTTCCTGTTTAGGATTGAGTTTCCGGTTCTTTTAAAAGTCTATTTCAACTCTATATTTCTAATGTCTCCTGCTAAACTGTAAAATTTTATTTACTATTTTTTTCCTCAATAGGAATAGTGTTGTGGCCTTGTTAGGGCCAGAAATAAAGACACAAGAGATGGAATTGAATTAACAGAAACAGTAATACAAACATTTACAAAGAGAGTCCATGCGTGCGTGGGTAAATTACAATAACACTATCTATCTATCTATCTATCTATCTATCTATCTATCTATCTATCTATCTATCTATCTGCTGAGGCCTTGTTAGGGCCAAAAATAAAGACACAAGAGAAGAATTGAGTTAAACAAAGATATTAACAAAAACAGTAATACAAACATATACAAACGAGAGTGTTACAGCAAGAATGTTCGGTCCGACTGTCAGAGCTGACTGCTGGAAACTTCCCTCTCTAAAAGGCAGTACCTGCTCCTATTTATAACTGAGAGAGTCCATGAGTGCGTGGGTAAATTACAATAACACTATCTATCTATCTGCTGAGGCCTTGTCAGTGTTAGAGCAAGAATGTTCGGTCCAACTCTCAGAGATGAGTGCTGGAAAATCCCCCCACCCCCCAAAAGGCAGTACCTGCTCCTATTTATAGCTGGGAGAGTCCATGCATGCATGGGTAAATTACCATAACAAATAGAAAGGTTCGTATATTCTATCGTCCTGTTCACACTCTTCCCGGTCTTTCGAACAGGAGTAATGGCTTATCTCTTGTCCCCTCTTTAGGACTGGGCTTCCTGTTTCTTCTAAAGTATGAGAAAGAAACGGCAAGAGAATGAACATTGGGAATCTTACATTACAGACTAAAAACTAAAATAATTAAACAATCATCACATTGTCGTAGGCGTCCAGACTTCATGAATTTAAGCGTTCAACTAGGCTGGCATCTCGCTCTCACCTTTTAACTGCCGAAACTGTTAAATGTAGCCGTCTCTTCTACTCCAATAGCTTCATGTCTCGCACTTCTCGCCTCTGGAACTCCCTCCCCTTTTCCTGTTTCCCCGATAGTTATAATCTCGAACTATTCAAATGTAATGTCAATCGACATCTCCAGATGCCTTGATCTATCCCCTATCCTTCTCTTCATCCTTTCCTCTGTCACTCTTATTTGCTCTCGCTCCAACTCTCTGTAACCCCTTGCGTGCTAGTGACTTCCCGCCTTGCTTGGGGTGAAACGCTTAAAAAAAAAATGATGACATAAACTGTCATCTGTATACAAACCTTTTCTCAGATCATTGATGAAAAATGGCTTCAAGCGAATGAATCATGTTGGTCTCAAAAAAGCCATACTCCTTCAAACAAATTTAACTGGCGCTACAGAATCGCAAATTACTGTACAAAATAACGAAAAATCACATCACTTGAGGACGTTCAAGAGGTGTAATGACTTAAAGGGATAGCACGCGCAAATGGAAGCGAAAATAATGACATAATCAAAATATTCATATTTCAAACTACATACAAGAAACATTTAAGAAGGAAAACCCCATCAGATAACGTCAAGGGCGATGGTAATTACTGGACTGAGAAAATTATTCTCATGAAAAAAAAAATGCTTTTATAGAAATATTTTATAAATTTCAATCGATAGTAACACTGGCTTCTCCGTCAGTGAAAAACCGAATGTTTCCTTATAAGAGTATGGCTTATATTAGAATTACTATTACCGTAATTATCCATGTATAATACACCTTCATCTATAATACGCACCCCTAAAATTGTGCTGAAATTGTGGGAAAATGCTTATACTCACGTATAATACGCACCCCTTGTTTGGTAACCTAACCCTATATTTTGTACTTCTCCAATTTCATTACGGCCAGCGTTTCCTACTCTTATTTTTAAAAAATGGTTTTAAGCATAGAATATATATTATTCTTATTTTATTTTACGGCAATTTTTTTAAGATTTTTTGTAGCTGCGCATAATACGCATCCCTGATTTTGCTTATTATTTTTTAGAAAAAAAAATGCGTATTATACATCGGGAATTACGGTAGACATGATGAGAACGGGTACTACATTTTGATCCCAGCCTGATAGTCAGAAAATTAAGAAAAGCGTGTCTTCAGCGCATATATTCGCAAAAGATCGGAGTATACCCTGACTCATTTATATAAAATAGAAAAGAGTTATACCGAGAAGTAAGACTTGATCATACGGTCCTGAAAAGACTGGCCATTAACTTCAAGGATCTACCCGTTAACAAGGACTTAATAAGATTTTTCCAATGAATACATAGCTGGAAAGCTTGTATAGTAACTCTCTCTACCATACCTTGTCAATGGACTTTGGAATATTTAACGCTATCGTCCTTACTCTCTAAAATTCTCATACTGACGTAATTAACTTCAGCTAGACTTGAAATTTCTTACACGCTATTTCCCCATGCTTCTCTTGCGATCAGTATATCCTTGGAGAGTTAAATGCTCCAGGATCTCTTTTCTCATTATTCCAGAAATTTCAGCTGCCTCTTTCCGATTGTAAATATAAGCGACCTTGCTGTTCCTATTTTCCTTAAGTCTTCCTTATTCCACACATGTTCTGTCCATGGTATTCTCAACATTTATCGAGAGAATTCCTCTCCGTCTTCGGAGTTTTGTGTAGTCTGTTACGACACGATCCAAAATGAAAGAAAAAAACAGGACAAATGCAGAACAAATAAGATGATTCGACATAAATGAAAAGAGAGAGAAAGAGAGAAAGAAAGAGAGAGAGAAAGAGAGAGAGAGAGAGAGAACAAAGTCGAGTACAACCAAAAGAGAACAACTTGAGAAAGGTGTTCACATTCCATTGGCGCACAATAGATAATCTGAAAAAAAGAAATTCAATCAGTGATATAGATAGCCTAGGCTTTTTCTTCTAAAAACGTACATGATAAGATGAAATAAAAAACATAGTGAACTGGGTTAAATACTGACATTATTTGACTAACATTGAGTCAAGTTGACTGTGTTAAATCTATCTGTACTGTGGCTATTATGCAAATGTTTAAGCTATTGCAATGCAAATCAAAATCTCAGATATCCGACAAGCAATTTGTAAATACAGTATACTACTGCTAATAATAATAATAAGAGGAAGAAGAAGAATGGTAATAATAATAATATTATTATTAATAAAAAATAATAATAATAATAATCAGAATAATAATCATAAATCGCGAAAATGTGGCACATGGGAACATCAACAATCCCTGTTGTAGTTGAAGCCCGAGGACTGGTTGGAAAAGATTCCAGTAGACTAATTGAAGGGATTCCTGG